TTGTCAGCAGTTGTAGTTTCTAAGTGGGGCCTTTAAGGAGAGAGGCAGCTGTTAGCTGGCACTGCCACAGTAGGAGTCTGCACTGTTGGCAGGCCCCCCTCTCAGGCTGATCTTTCCACTGAAGGTTAATCACTCCACTCAGAACCTTTATTTTTCTGTATAAATGAAAAGATGGCAGCAGTTTAGTAATTTTTCATAGGTGCTAATCAGATAGAAGCTTTTCTCCAGGCTTGTTGACGGGCACGTTTTCATCGCCACCTCAGCGTGTTACTGAAGGAAGTGCACCAGTGAATGGTGCTGGATTTTGAAACTAGCTATTAACCCACTTCAGCTACTTTTCTACTCTCTTTAAATGGTTCGTTTTCATCACAAGTATAATCAACCGTACATTTTTTTTTTCAACTTTTTTTGTTTTCAGTGTTTCTGCTATGGTCGGGAGCTTGTGATTAGACAGTCAACAGTCGTGTTTGTCTGTTTTCCACATTTCACTTGAATGGTAAAACAAATATCATCGTTGTAGCTTTATTATTTATTTTCTAAACACGAAATCCCTGCATCATCATGTCAGTTCGACGAGAAACTAAAACAAGTCTGATGCATAGTCACAGGACACAGGTGTGAGATCAACATAAGAAGATGTCCGTAGTTATAACGACTGGATTTTGGTGGTATCTTTATTAATATGACATATTTCCTGTTCATGCAAATTATACTTAATTCAAAGGTGAAAGCAGTGGGATATCCTCACTGAAGAGAAGTTTCTGTGTAGTTTCAGACAGAGTGATGTTTGATAAGATAATCCCTCTAACTATGTGAAATTTTAATTTTCTTATGAAAAGTTATGGTAGGAATCTAGAATCATCACTTTCAGACATGTATTGAACTCCACAGAGCCTCTGTATTTTCTCCAGAGGAGGTGCACGTATGAACGGAAATGTCCAAGTAAGAGGTTCTGGATTATCTGCAGACTTTCAGGGGGCGGTCCCACTGCTGGATTCACTGCAATCAAGTGGGGGGGCTGATGACGCTTCTAGCAGGCTAAAATTAAAACGAAAAAGAAAACAAATATCTCGTGGTGAAAAAACTGTGTCATACACGTAGAAGACACTGACAAAGGTGTCAAAAGAGTTTGTGGTGATAAGAGCTGATGTTGTTGTCAGTTGCTGTAAACATGATCACGTGATTTCAGCAGCGGAGTTAATACATCACTTCCTGTCTCTGGCCTGAATATGTGAAAACGTCTGTGCAGAGAACCTGCTGCATTGTGCAGACGTGTGAAAGACAAACTCTAGTTCAACTCTGGACATGACTCAGGGCTGTTTCATATTGTCTGGTTCCTGGTCGTCAGGCAGCTGTGATGGTTCCTTGTTTTGGTGTGTTTTAATGAAGCTTTTTTTATATATGTGCACACAGTTTACCAAACAAGGGCTAAATGTCATATTTGACAAGACATATGAAGCAAGACCTGAATCCACCGTATACACTAAAATAGTTTTTACAAGTCATAGCATTTTCAGTTGCTCTTAAAAAAAAGAACTGCAGTAAAGAAAGAAAAAGGGTCAGTAAGCTAAATGAGTAATGGGATATGAATGTATTAAACCCTTTTAATGTCCTCACCTCCTGAGGAAACAAAATGGCTTTTATGCGGCTCCAAAAGGTGTGTATGCTCAAGCATATCGTCATTTATCAGCAGACATGGCACCTCCACAGGGATAAAAGCCGGGGATTCCCCCCCGCCTTACATCAAAAGTGAACAAGCCCTAATCAAAAGTGAAGCATCCATTTGTAAAGACCACAGTACATTTTCTATTCCAGCTGATTGCTTTGAATTTCTTCCTTCATTAATTAGGTGGTTGACACAGATGAATTTACACACACACTTTAACGTACTGTATGTTCAAGATTATAAATTGCAGTTTCACATTGTGGTCTCACAGTGTTCATTTTGTAAATCACGCTTACACACATATAATGTGAACAAAACCACAGGGATGATTGAATCCACCTCTACACTGTCATTCTGTGTGTCATTCTAAAGATGCTTGTGAGTTAGATCAACATCTCAAACCCGATTTCAGCTGAAACTGAACATTTCTGAAGGCAGTAGTTATTTCTACACCACCAGAAGTTAGGTGGAAATATGGACTAATTTAAATTCAACTACGACATGGTTTAGTCACATTTCGTTCAAAATATTTTCATATATTTAACAATAATGCACAAGTAGGTAAATGATACTTAAAGGCTCATTATAGTTTATAATGTGAGACACCTTTGTAATTAAAGGTTGCAGAAGTTAAGCCCTCTTCATGATTTGCTGACTGACAGTGTGAATTAAGTTCTTGTCTCACTGTGATGTTTTTTGTTCTGATGGTAATCCTCAGGTTAGGCATGTCCAGACATGTTCAAAATACACTGCGGCTGTGGTGATGCAGTCTCACTGGTGAAATAAGACCAAGAAAACAGTTTTATGTCCCAAAAAGAAAAACATGGTTTTTCCTCACATACACAGCAGCATCTATAACAGTGAACAGCTCTGTCCCTCTATTGTGAAAACACATTTTAAAGCAAATCTTCTATAATTAGCTGGAAACAAAGTCATTTACAACTGGAAGAAGTTAAAACTGTCCTGGTGTCATTATCTCTGTCTCTAAACAAGCTCGTCATGCAGAGCAGATGTTCGCATCATAATGGTGGAGGTGAAGAAAGTCTTGAAACATTTAATCAGCTCTACTCTACGCAATTTGCATGAGCAGAATTAGGGTTAGGGATTAATCATGCCTCAATTCCTTAAAAATACCTGTACTTTACCAGTATATATATATATATATATTATAGTTGCAACAACACAAAATATTCTGAATGTTTAAAGGTGTAATTCTGCTTTTTAGCGGTAATCTCCATCTAACAACAGCTGGAGTCTGGGCTTGGTGAGAAGCAGCGACCGGTGACACTTGTCTCATATCAATGGGCTGAACGCAGCTTGTCTGTGTGTTTTTCTCCCGTGTCCACCACAGAGTTTGTGTGTGTGAAGATGGTAACCTGTTCAAATCTAAACGTCGGCCGCACGTTGGACTAGGAGTAGCCTACAAATGATTATTTGCACAATGGAAACTGTTACAGCTCACCGCTGGTCTCTGCTGCAAACCTGTTTTATAGCCATGTTGTTCTGTTCCTGGTTTTATGTAACAGCAACAGTGCTCAGTTGCCCTTGAGAGCAAACTAGCTGTCTTTGATGCTGTGATCTGTGCAGGCAATACTGAGCATGAGTCATCTGGAAGCCCACACACAAATACTTTGAGTAGCAGCCTTTCCATGCTCAGGGATTACAGCAGTGTCATGAAAACATTAATCACTATTGTTTATTTTTTTCTCTTGAAAACATAAAATGTTGTTTTTTAATGGAAAACAGAACAGTGATTAAAAAAAAGATATTGTCTGAATAATTAGTCATAAACACAGTTAATGGGACTGACTGATTTACACCCTCTCTCTTGTTTAAGTACATAGTTTGCTGAAATAATAGATAATGATTTTTAAAATATCTACTTTGAATTATATCCATACAGAATAATCTTATGTCTTCGTGATTGCTCAATCATTTACCAAACGGTCACATCACTATCACACAATTCAATATTTGCATAATTCTTGCTCGCGACTGAACCAAAAGTATTTTTTAGTGAGCACGAAATCAGATCAGTGTCCATCAAGTTAAGCTTTGGTGTCCTTGCAAACAGACGTAGCTTTACATAATTGTTTGCATAATATTCCCCGCTGACATTGTCGGGCAGGCTACAGCAGTGGGTGGTGGAGAGTCTTTTGATGCCTTCGCCATTGCAAAGCTAAGACTTAGGGTTTGTGTTGATGCTCAGACTGGTTGCTGTGTGTTGTGTGTCCACTGTGGAGTTGATGACTATCTCTTGAACCCAGCAGCGCTGTTACAGTGAGCCACAGCTACAGTGAGTCCTCGTTCAGCACCGTCTAGTTGTGAGCAGGGATTTTCTTTTAAGCGCATATATGACTCGTGACCTTCAGAATCCGTTTAATACATCATACAGAAGTAAATTTAGAAAATGGCTGGCATGTTTGTGTGGTGATTCTTCATCAGGGATCTTTTGTAAGAGCAAAGCAAATGAGATCTGCAGCCCCTTTTATTAAGATTTACTTACTCTACCTTTTTTCACATATCAACAGCATTGAAACTTAAATGAGTTTCTTGTAGTACTTGCTTTACCGCCTCAACCATAGTGGTTTATCATCAATGACTTTATTATGTTGCGTTCCATTTAAGTCTTGAGACAGGGAGACGTGTTATTCTTTTTAAATTGTGAATTCTAAGTTAAAATGTCGAATCACTTGCAATGCAAGTTTTCTTGAAGCTTCACTTTTCATTTTCATTAATTCATTCAGTAAACATAGAGTTGACCGACCAGAGATTTGTTAATTCATTTTCTGCTTACCAAGTGTTTAAGAATGTAACACCACAATTTTCACCCTGGAGCAAAAATCATTCTTTAAACTTGCAAAAAATTATAATGTAACATTTATTTTAAGAATTATCAGACAATTATTAGACATGTAACATGGGGAACATCTTCTTAGACCCACGCTGCCATGTATTGCACTTCATTTTCTCATGTTATGTTCTGTCCTCCGCAGGTCATCCACATTCTACTTCCTGTTACAAATGTTCAGGCCAGAGATCAGGCCGCACAACGACTGTTAGAGGCGAAAGGGGTGAGGACGGGGACGAGTGCTGGTTCGTGGTACCAGGTTTTGTCTCATGAGCGTGACTGTGCCGTCCAGGCGCTGCCAGTGACCGGGGCTGTGGCTGTGGCGGGCCCGGCCCAGGAGGCCATTCTGTACATCACTCCAGGCTCCCACTGACCTGTCCTGCTCTCACCATGGATCAACAAAGAGATAAATATGGTGAGCGGCCCGCCAGGAGCACTAAGGTTTCCCAGGGCAGCCGTAGCGGACACTCGTCCCGGCCATCTGGCTCTTCGAGCTCCTCTGGGGTCCTCATGGTGGGGCCAAACTTCCGTGTGGGAAAGAAGATCGGCTGTGGAAACTTTGGTGAATTGAAGCTTGGTAAGTGTAAAATTGTTCATGTCAAAGTGAATTTTAAAGTTGATATAGCAGCTAGTAATGGTTCGGTGTTTTGCCAGTTTCGTAGCTACACTGAACCAAAAAATCATCAATCCTGCAAAATATCATACATTAATGAAAGTTGTAATTTTTAACAGTTTAAGGGGATTTTGATTCAGCTTTGTGGTCTTTTGATTTACAGCTTTAAAAGCCATCTCATGTTTGTTTTTTCCCATTCCTGTCGTATTTCAGGTAAAAATCTCTACACTAACGAGTATGTAGCCATTAAACTGGTAAGTGCAAACTTTCTCTCTCTATAGACATTTTATTATGGTGTCAGTAAATCAGTGGAGAGCTTGAGTATTTCGTAAACATCACTTTACATGAAATGTTGTTTTTCATGATTATGGTTTCAACAAAATTGTCAGAGATGCTGAAAATTTTTTGTTTGTTTTAGGAGACAAGGGGACATGCATAATGAGGCGTTCTCTTCCTTACTTTAGTATTTGAAATATTTTGAATATTATGTCAGTGCTGGCAATTCCAAAATTATTTGGATCAAAAGTAAGACAAGCACGTTTAAATGTGTTAAAAAGCTTTAAATAGACACATGTTGCTTCAGCCCTTCGTATTTTATTACTGGAAATATGACTTGAAATCACCGGTGCTACTTATGAGCACTCTCCGGTTGAGTCAGGGTAGCACAGTGAGTTGGTTGGTGTTCTGGATCGCTGGGCTCTTTGAGAGAAACGTGAGTGATGTGTAGAAACTGAGCTAGGTGTGTCTTTCCAGTGGCTGCTGGACTGGAAGTCATGACTCCTGACTCATCCTTGTTGTATTGCTCACTGGAGAGTTGTAGATTCCCAGTATTAAGCTCACCAACCGTTGCTCATACATCTGTATTGTGTGATGACACAGATCCAGTGCTTTTATAAATACTGGAAAATGTTTCACTGAAACATGTGTTGAGTTTTAAAACAGTATCATGGAACTGAAATGTTTTTTTAGGTTTAAAGACCTTGTTGGACACTTTGTTAATCCTGTAGTGTTTACCTAATTACCATTACGAGTTTCCTAATCATTTTAATCTGAATTCTTTTTGCTAAGTTATTATTAACCTCCCCACTGAATTGTATTTTTTGGGTTGATCACAATGTAAGAGAAAGACTTGCAGGAGTCTTGAAGCAGGTGGGACAACGATTTCAAAAGAGACTGAAGGATGACTCAGATAATGGCAGAAGGCCGCCGTTGCCTAAAAGAGTGACAAAGATGGCCACTGGTGATGTTTGTGGAAAATTGACATGTTTGTATATGCTCTTAAGTGCGAGATGAGTCATCAAAAAATAGTTGACACCTCACAGGTTACAAAGTGACCTTACAAGAAAAAGCTCCAATCCATTCACTGTGTTTCTTTACAGAACAAATTTGAGTACGGTTCAGTTTTAAGTGTTTTTCTTTCTCTTCACTGTTTTATTGTGCAGTTATTGTCATTAACTGATGTGTCCACTGTGCAGGAACCAGTGAAGTCGAGGGCACCGCAGTTGCATTTAGAGTACAGGTTCTACAAAACACTGGGAACTACAGGTAAGGTCACAGATGCGTTAGCCGCTGTGTGTTTGTGTGAGTGCACGACAATGATTTGACTGTTTTGTAAGATCGGCTCAGAAGATTGCATCATTTTCACAACAAGTGATTACTGCACTCGGGTTACAATATCGATATTAAGCTGCGTCAGGAACTTCTTTTAATCTCCAGGACTCTGTCTACATGAGTGTGTGAGTACCTTTGTGCATGGAGAGTGTGGTGAACAGTGACCTTGCTGGAAAATAGACGGACACAGGATGCAACTCAATATGATATAAAGCCTCTTATGCACCAAAACAAATGCAGTAGCCGATCCATCTTTCTAATTCTTAGGTAAAATATACAGGAGGTGTTGTAGACTATATTTGAGGATCCACCTTATATTCAGGAATATTACTTCCCTGCTGAGGTTTAACTGCACAGTTGATTGATTATTCTCTGCACGTACATCAGTTCACTTGGCTCAACATTGTGATGGCCGTCAGCAATCGTCAATGCATCGTCCATCAGCACGACCTTAATCCTTTTATCAAAAAATTACAGCTGCAAAAGGTAATGCACATATGAGCTTTGCCCTTCATGCACATTGTGTAGTAGCAGTTGTGGTAGTAGTAGTATAAGTACCCCTTTATTAGCTCTACCAGTCAGGTCCAAGTTTCAAATGTAAGCAGATTCAATTTTCATTACCTCTGCCAAGGTTACATTTTCATTGGTGTTGTTTTGGTTGTTATTTAGCAGCATTACACGAAAACTACAGGACGGATCATCGTGAAACTTGGTGTAAGGATGCAGTTTGGTTTTGGGGGAAAAAAGATAATGAAATATGGTGATTTTCCCAGAGAATACTTCATGAATGGGGAAAAAAATACATATTCAGGGGACTGATATTTATGAGTGCAATTTGGTGTGGCTGGTAAATCTAAGGTGACTAGTGAGTCTTGGCAGTGATGTGCGCTCTAATGAGTGCCGTTTTTAACTTGCATTCTCCAAACTCATTTTTACTTTGTAATTGTTATTTTTATTTTTCCTTTGTTCACACTTGGCAACAGTTTCTCCCTTGTTCTCTCTAGTTCATGGTGTTAAACTGTGAGGTCAACAATAATACACGAACACTGACCTCTATTTGTCTTTATCTAAGATTTTTTGACTTTTTTTCATGAATGCCTTCTAAATTTTAATAGTCAGCCTTCAGAATCGAAGACAATATTAGTTCCTTAACTCTGCTCCCCAGAGATTAGTCAAGGTCTGCTGATGCATCCCTGTTACAGGCACCACGGACAAAAATCTTGTGAGGATTGAATGACTGCAGCAGAGAATTAAATTAGGGGCAGACATTTTTAGTCTTGGTACTAGAGGAAATGGGTGGGAACTGAAGAAACAATGGAACAATAGAAAAATCTTTTTTTTTATTGTGGTTCATTGCTCTTCTGGTGGAATAACGTGCGTAGCGGTGATAGCTGTCGTGAATGCATCTAAGCACTGACTGTTAATGAGATCAGAGTTTGATCAGCATTTCTGGTTGATGTGAATTAATCAACCAGTGGGGAAAACAGTGATGTCACAGTGTTACGGTTTAGGGCTGGTCTCAGTCACAGTTGACACAGAAAATTAAATCTGTGTGATGTGTGGTCCTTGATGTGTTTTTTGAAGATAACCAGAGTGGGAGTATAATGGCCATTGTTTTGCAAAGGCAAAGGCTGGAAAAGGCCAACTGTGCGGAAACTCATTAAATATTTAGAGAGTGGGTCTGCCTCTCCTCGTTCTAACCTACCTCTGTCCTCTCCTCCAGATGGGATAATGTGGCCTCATTTCTTCTTGGCTGTGAGCTGTGCCACGTTCCTCTCGGCCAATGTGGTTGTCACAGTGTCTGTGCGACGGGGTCTTTATGAATTAATGTGGTTTGACTCAAATGCCCGATCAGGTGTTGTTTTCTGATGCATAACACACCGTCACTGGATATTAATGAGGATGATTCAATTAGGAATCAAGCATCTCCTCGCATTGTATTATGTGAAAATATTCCTCAGAGAAATAGGTGTTCCTTTCTGCTTTGGTTTTTACAAGGCGGCAGACTATGAGGCATTATTGTGCCAAGGACAAGATGTTTGTTTTTGTGTGCTTTCTGTTAAAGATGAAGCGGGTTTGTTCAAGGGGGGGGGTGGATTCTGTTGAGCTATTAAAGGTATTGACTGCCACACTTCCTCATGAAACACGACACCGCTCCTGTAACCATTTCAGTCCCAAGGAGTAAAACCTTCCTCACTGGATTTTACAAACATGTAAAGCGAAGGCCAGACGTCATTTCCTGGATGTCTGTCCCTACTAATGTGAAAACATGAATTGTTGTTAAGAATAGAAAAGTTCGAAACTGGAGAGCATTGTTTCAGCAGACTACCACCTCAGTGGTTGAGGGAATTTGTTTTCCAAATGAATGACTGCATCAATTGAGATGTAAATATGGTATCGAGTTGTGAAAGAAGCAGATTTTATTTAATTCTAACCACGTTTTTCACACTTCTCACGGCGCCTGCACATGTGATAAAAATTCCACTATTTTTATGTGAGAAGATCATCTCCGCTGTAATCACTGAACTGACAGCCATCGTTTAGGTGCTACATCACTTTATTGTCATGTACATTACCTTGTTAATCATGAGCAGAAATACAATCATACAGTTTCAACTGAAGAAATACATATATTCATCGAGTGTTGAATATTTAACACATATACTTAAAAATCTACAACAAAAGTGAAATTGTCCAAAGCTGTCCTCCTCCATCAAGTGTTTAATTTTGCAGAGTACAGCGTAATTACAGATTTTGATATCTTTTAACCTGAAGTGGAACAAACCCAATGGTCAGACTGACAATCAACAGGATGAGCAGGTTAATGAAATTGCCAGATGAAATGAGTCAAGGCAGCACTTCTGTCTGTCAGAAGTTAAAACTGCTTGATTGATTTGATTGCAGAGCCAAGCACCCAGTCACAGGCTGAAACAACAGTGCAGCCATAAACCAGAACGGATCAGCACAGTGCACGGAACTTCTCGTGAGGCAGAAAAACCTTTGTGGAGCCGCTGCAGAACAAATCGCCCGTCTCTTATGTTACATCTCTGCTTCCATCCCACAAATTTTCACCGGTCCTAAATTTACATGGCTATAGTCCATCTATCCACCAGTCTCAAAAGTGCATATCCGTGGCACTGGCACCTACTGCAGCACACAGCGGATGAATAATTGGTTACACCCTGGACAAGTCTATTACAGAGCTGACACACACATGCATCTATAGTAAGAAAAACACGTTCACACCTACAGCCAGTTTAGAGTCACGAATTCACATCACCTGTGTTTCTTTGGGCTGTGGGAGGACACCCACGCAGGCACAGGGAGAACATACAGATTCACACAGAAAGGCACCTCACACTAGTAATGACAGGCAATGTTTTTCCCTTAATTATTAAGACATGCACTTGATGTTGATGTTGATGTTCATGCATGCACAACCTGCCATTTTAAATTTCCCTCTAACACGTTTCTAACATTCTCTGTTGAGCGTAGCCTTTGTGTGGTGGGATATTAAATGTGTTGCACGGTTAAAGCATAAAGTAGGTCACCAAAATAATGGTAGAAGAAATTAAAGATGGCTTTGGCTGAATGTCTACAGTCCTGTTCTTTATCGCAGTTTCACTTAATTATTAATAAGAGAAAAAAATAGTTCCAGATGGTCAAAATAAAACATCCAAGCTCAGGACTCGTCTCATCACGTCCAGACAAAGATCTGCTCTTTGACAGCTGGCTGAAAAATTGTGCAGACAGAAAATGTAGTGCACGGGGAGATTTGGGTGAGTGCCTCTCAGTCGAGCTTTGAAACCAGTCATAATCATTCTTCACACATTCATCACATCCAGCTTTGTCCTCTTTTGTTGTAAAAACCTGCAGCCAGTGCCTTTATTAGATTACAGTAATGCAAAGGAAAATGCACTCACAGGCTGTTTTATTCAGTGACGGATGCATTTGTGAAAATTCTCTTGCATTTGATTTATTTGTTTGTAGTTATTCCATTTTATATCTTTTCTCGTCACAAACCTGCAGCTTTTGGTATTGACAGATCCGACTGATATATCTTGATCCGATATTTCAACTGTAATACAAAATATCACTGCATTGTTTGTATAGATTTTCGATACCGTCTAAATAGCTATCAGAAATCACCTCTTCGGCGCTCTAACAGTCCTCGTCAGCGACACTACAGTGCAACTGCTGGTTTGGAAGAAGAAGTCATTGCTGGGAATATAAAATTGCAGTTTTATCTGGGTGAAGTTAATGTACTTTGAAGACGCAGTATTGCATCAGCCTGAGCAGGCATTTTCAACAGTAGTGGTGGCATTTCTTGGCTTAACCCTATTTTATACATAGGGTGTTGTTATTATGTCTAAACTCAGGTATCATTACATCGGTAGATTGGGGCAGTTTGATGAGGATTTGAGCAGATGTCATCGTCAACATGAACTAAAACCTTGATTTAACAATCGGCCTCTTGGAACAATAGCAGCTGCAAAATAATACTCTAATAGAGGTAAATAATCTTATTTCCAAGTTGTCCTCATTCACTGAGTGCAACACACTGTCAGTTTGCTCATTCTGTTGAAAAATAAGTTATTCTGCTGTCTTTGTTTGTCTGCTCACTTGCTCGCAACACTGTAGACCAAGATCAGTGCTACACCCAGGCATTGTTCTCATTACTTAAAAGAAAATTGGATGTAAGTAGTCTACAGAGGTGCCCACAAAATTGGTAGCTTCCTTTAAAGTTTGAGTCTTCCTCTACAATTAGAGTTCACTTTGCAGTGCAGGACACACAGATTCAATCTCTTTATAAAGATTGTTTTCCCATAGGTAATGATGGTTCTTTCCCCCCTGGTTTATGTTTGCAAGTAAAAAGCTTTAACAACCTCGTTTTCAATTGAACAAGCGTTTATCCACTTATTTACAGCAGATCTCCAATCTGACACATTTTTCGGCCTCCCACAGGCACCCGGGGTTTCAAGGCACTCATTCCTATGGCACAATTAGCAACCCACAGAACTGCATAATGGTGTCCAGAAATACAAGATGGAGCACAACACTCCTACGAGCTCATATGCTAGCTGACAGCATTTGTGCCACCTTTCATGCTGCAGTGTATTTCCTATTACCCAGCTGGCAAGTCAAATGCCTTTAGCAACACATTTGATATAAATGTGTTAGCACACGACACTGGGATTAATATTTTCTGATCCATCTCGGCTTAAATTACTCGAGGAGAATAATACATTTATAATGACAATTTGTTCGCGTCGCTTAACTTTATTCTTCCCGCTCATTACCTCCGCCAAGGAGGTTATGCTTTCCTGTTTGGTTGTAAGCAACATGGCACAAAAAGTAAAGGACGGATTATCACGTATTTTAATGGAACAATGTGTTATGGGTCAGGGAAGAGCCAATTAAATTTTGGTTTAGCATGATTGAATTTAAGGGGACTTGGTGGAGGTATGTGCCATTCTAGTTTCTTAGAGAGGTCTCCTTCATAGATGCGCACAAAACACAACTCACATGTTAATATGTAAATGTCAGAATTGACCATCTGTGATGTGATGACAGAATATTATCTCTCAAATCTGATGTTCTCCTCGGCTCCTTGAGACTTAACATCAACTCGCGTGTTTGGTTTTACAGCTGGAAACGGAACTGTTTTAGTTTACTCTCACCAGGTTCATCATCTTAGTTTCCAACACAGCAGGAAGCTCTTTGCATTAAAAATAAGCTCTGATGAATCCATTATAAGAAACTTCACCAGCATCAAAAGACAGGAAATACAATTAATGGCAATTAGCTGGTGAAGATAGTGGAGGGTTTAATAAGTAAAAGGACATTTTGTTGGCGGAGATGAGAACAAAGCTAGAAAATCAGCAAATATTAGAATTTGTCCAGCACATTAATGTTACTTCATCTCTGCTGGATGTTTAAAGCAATGTGCAATCAACTTTATAAGTTCATGAAACAGTGTGGGTGTTAATGTTTTGAAAATTGAAATATATGTTCAAAGCTGAACACATAAATCCTGAAGAGTTTTTTTTTAAGTTCATGTTGGATTCAGCAGATACTTGATATAAAAGGACCGACTCTAGGATTAGAGAAAAGTGTTCAGGAGTCAGGACGTCTCTTCTTTTAGTTACTTCTACGTCGGTTTTTCTTTCAAGTTTCCTGAGGGGGACCTTGTTCTCTGTGTGCAGGGTGGTGTAGCTTTTATGTATTTTTATAAATCTCATTTGTTTGCTTCTTACATAAGTTGATCAAAACTGCAGCAATAAAGGAAAAGTTCAAACTTCTCAAACTCTGTCATCCCTTTACGATATAAGTAAGTTCACACACTTTAAAGTTTAAAAGTACAGTACAAGGGTGCAAGGGTCAGAGCGCCGTCCAGACCACTATTACTGTTCAATCGAAGAGGGAGCGACGCTCATATTTGCAGGCCCAGTGCTGTATTTTACTTTAAGGTTAATGTTTTACCTCAGAGCTTTCTCTGCTCTCTGTCCTGAGAGACCTGATGGTGCCCCACCTCCGATCTCTGCAGCCTGTTGTTGCCTTGGAGACAACTTCAAAATATCATTAGTCAAGGGAGACAGCGATGATTAACACTTTTGCCACTCTAATTCCCACCGGTACATCCAACTGAAAACACCTTTTTATTTTATTGTTAATTACTCCTTGTTCATCTTCGATGCTTTTGTAAATAAATAGTTAACCATAAAGTTTTACATTATTTCCACAAATGTGGGGACAAGTGCAGCTCTGTCCAAGAGTTTCTGTCTTTTATAAATCTAATGTCTGTCCACCTGTGTGTGTGTGTGTGTGTGTGTGTGTGTGTGTTTGTGTCTTTTAGCGGAGGGAGTGCCCCAGGTGTTTTACTTTGGGCCTTGTGGGAAATACAACGCCATGGTTCTGGAGCTGCTGGGCCCAAGTCTAGAGGACCTCTTTGACCTCTGCGACAGGACCTTCTCACTGAAGACTGTCTTAATGATCGCAATTCAGTTGGTGAGTCCAGAGCATTTTGTGAAACATTTGAGTATTTAGAAATGGCTTCTTCTTTTTTATTATGACTGATAAAATGTTTGTTTTTTTAATGCTTCATTCAACACTGTGTTTGAATTAACTTCTGTTAGCTTTCCTCTGTAACTGTCATTAATTGTCTGATTAGTTCTCATCAACTATATTTCGAAGCTGTGATGTTTCTTAATATTTCCTGCAGAAGTTCCACAAAAGAATATTTGAATCTGAATCGTGGAGTAATTATGACAAAAACATTTGAAAGCTCTGTGAAGGTTGTGGTCAAACTGTTGAAGGCCAATAATTAATTTTGACGCCTCAAGATGGAGGACGTCTTAATTAGCTAATTAAAATGGCAAAGGGGAGCCTCTCAAATACAATAAAATATATAATAGGTTAAATAATAACCTGTTTCTGTTGAGGTTCAATCAATGCACCGAATATTATTTGATATTTTACCATAGTTCTATTGCATAAACTGCACATGAAGCTGTTTTATGAGGTTTTTTTTTTTTTGTGAATAAAATAATTCACTTGGTGGGCTGAGGTCCTGCCCACAGACCATATGTCTGTCGAGCAGATGGGGAGGTGGAGTAGCAGAGTCTCCTGTTACTCAGTCTGCAAATGAGCAATCTGTCAGTACACTCATCCTGTTGGTCAGAGTCAGGTAGGCTGGAAGCCGTCCGACCGACATCACTGAATCTCATTATGTCTGAGCAGCTCAGCGGGTGGCTCGGGCCTCGTCTATTCAGGCGCCTCACACATGTCAACATTTTTAACGTTTCATTGTCAGCACAAAATGTGCAGTGTTCTTCTAATGAAGATCGCACAGTGTAAGCCTGGTGTAGCTGAGCAGAGATTAATGTACGACTGCATCTCAGCCAATCTCCTCTTTGATATTTTCCCCTGGGTTACAAACATTTACTTTACCGCCCATCGTGTTTGAGTTGTTGTTCTTCAAATCTTTTAGCAGCTTTGAGCACATGGTTAAAAATCTTCATCCAAAACCATGTTGTCGTCCTGATCGCTGGTGTGTGGGATCATTCTACAAATTTGGGGCTTAAATTAAAAAAAGGATAAAAGTTGTGGCTCAACATCATGAGAGGATTTGTGGTTACAGTGCAGCATGTTACTGAAAAAAATAAGTGATCAATCACCACCAACTGTTCTCTCATTCACTCTAAACCTTAAAGACATTCATTACATGCAATGAGCATAGCGTTGGTGTGTGATATTGACAGGAAGGAATACTTCTCCCTGCCCTGTCCCTTGTGGATTTAGTTGTATGATTCAGTCTGTTTTACAGGTTCCACCTCTTACATTCTCTCCTGGTAGAGTGTGTCATTATGGCTAAGTAAGGCTGCAAGAGACGGATATGTGTTTTTAATCTGTCTCTTAAAGTCCCATAACTTTCTTGAATGGTCAGAGTTGATGTTAGCGGCTGATGTTTTTGCCCAGTTGGTAATTTTACCTGATGTTTTGTTAATGTTTCCTGCTGATGACTGTGCTGTGCTCTCCCTTGCCAGATTTCCCGAATGGAGTACGTGCACTCTAAAAACCTAATCTATAGAGATGTAAAACCTGAAAACTTTCTCATCGGACGGCAAGGGAATAAAAAGGAACACATTATCCACATCATCGACTTTGGCCTGGCCAAAGAGTACATCGACCCCGAGACCAAAAAACACATTCCATACCGGGAGCACAAGAGTTTGACAGGCACCGCCCGATATATGTCCATCAACACACATTTAGGCAAAGGTATGTTTCATTTCATAGCTGTGTTTTGGTTCTGTGCTTTTCTTAAAGCTTTATTTTGTAACTTTGGGTTTAAGTTCATTCCTAATTCTGGAAGTTTCTCAGTAAAATGTTGTCAAATCTGTTGATGCAGAGCAAAGCCGGCGAGATGACCTGGAGGCTTTAGGCCACATGTTCATGTATTTCCTCCGTGGGAGTCTACCCTGGCAAGGGCTAAAGGTACGCCAAGTACATGGAAGTGTTCCAAAATCTGTTACAGAATCAGGTTTATTCTGAGTCGTCAATAAAAATAAAATAACACATCTTGACTTCATGGCTCTCTGCAAGTTTGATATAATAATGGGAATAATCAGGTCAACATTGGTTATTATTTTCAGTTTTTGAACATCAGAAAGTGTTAAAAGTCAAAATTCAGTTCCCTTACAAGCGAGAGTGAGATATAAATACATCAGTTCTTTTTTTCTTCTCCCCAACACTAAGCTAGCAGGCAGTCTAAACTAAACACTAAGAAAATCAAAAGAGAAATGAGACGTAACAGTATAAACTGTGGACGTTTTTGTGTCATGTTAACTGAAGGATTCTTTTCATCTGTCTTTATTAATGAAGAAGTCATTTAGAACTTGTTTCCATATCATTCTGGTTCTGGCTGATCAGATATCAGAACTGATTCTTATGATTTTCGGTTTTGGATCTCCTGCAGGCCGACACCTTGAAAGAACGATACCAGAAGATCGGAGACACAAAACGTAACACTCCCATTGAAGTCCTCTGTGAGAACTTCCCAGGTACAGTGATGGATGTAACAGGGCTTGAAAATGAATGGATTCTGATGTGACCAAAGTAAAACATGACATCTTACAACATAATCATCTTAACGTCGTGTGTTTCGTGTTTTACTACTTCAGAGGAGATGGCCACTTACCTGCGATATGTGAGACGATTGGACTTCTTTGAAAAGCCCGACTATGAATATCTGCGGACTCTGTTCACTGAACTGTTTGAGCGAAAAGGCTACACCTTCGACTACACTTACGACTGGGTTGGCAGACAGATAGTAAGCGCCACTTGTTAACTCTCAACAGATTATTTGTTCGCTCCTGGGCGGTAAAGCAGTTAACTGATTATCCCCCCTCCCCCCCCCTCAGCCCACACCGGTGGGCTCTGTCCATATAGACTCCGGAGCGTCCGCGGTCACGAGAGAGAGCCACCCTCCCAGAGAACGCCCCTCACAGCATCAACCAATCAGAAATCAGGTATGGCAGGTTTTTGTTTTTAGTAATGGATTGTTTGCAGAGGAAACCTTACATCACAACTTATATGACGTTCACATGTGTGAGCACCAACCACCTGCTTTCAAAGATGTGCCTAGAGAATTAGTGAGCTTGAATCTCACCTGTCAGTAGAGAAACTGTTACACCAACATACTAAGAAACTCAGAATTCATCTTTTATCAGCACTGCATCATTATTTTTGTATTATATGACTTTTAAGGTTTTGGTTGTTAAAGGCAATTAAAGTTAAATACCTTAAATGCTGTTTTCTTGCATTAGAACAAATGTGATTATGTTTTTCAAACCATTAAACCTAATTATCTTTGTATTCTTCATTTGAATCATCAGACCAGAAATTAAAATGATTTCTGCAGATTGACAGTCGTCTACAAAGATGACTGAGATTAAGTGTTTTATAAAAAACCATGAAGGAGGGATGATGTTATTTCTTTATTGAAACAGGTGAAACCATTAAGAAGAGTTTTCATGGTGGGTTTTTATGAATGGTATATTTAGCTCGGTTTTCCAAGAGGCTGCAGTTCATCCTCGCATCAGTTTAAGTTTGACATCGTGTTGTTGCCTTAAAGTGTTCGATGGTTCAAATTCTTGGCCCCTTGGTGTTTCTGATAGTTTGGGTGAATTTGCCAAATTAGTATTTTTAAAAAAACTTGTGATTTCGCTGTTGAATTTACATTTGAAATATTTTAGGTTTGATTTACGTATTATATAAGTATGATTAAATTGAGACACAGAGCGTACCTCCATTTAAAATCCACGCTCATAGTTTCTGTTTCAGTTCTCTGGCTGAAGCCTTGCTTTGATTTTGATTTACACTTTTATTTTGTTAATTTATTTTTCTTCTCCATTTCTCATACTGCTTTGCATGACACCTGGCTTCGCACACCTAAATACCCATCTTTCCTAACACAATTATTCCATCACTACCCCCCCCTCCCTCTCCCATTGCAACCCCGTCCCCACTCCCCCTCCCATCACCGACGCACCACGAGCAGACAGCGGTCTCAGATCGACGAGGAGCATGGGAGGTGCAGCCCACACGCCAAGCAAACTCCTCCTATCTGACCTCCCACCTGGCAGCGGACAGGCACGGGGGCTCAGTGCAGGTATACACCCCTCACCTGATCAACCAGCAGCTCCCATCCAGTCTCTATGGAGTCAGATCTGTCTCACAGGATGTAATCCAGAATAAACAAACCTGCAGGCTGCTCTCAGAAATGAACTTTTTTTATTTACATTTTGTTTTTGTTAGTTATTGTTATTCATATTTTACAATATAAACATTTTTAAGCATTTTCAAACAGCAGTTTCAAATTTCTATTCTTTAATTTAAAGATTTATTGGTTCATACTTATCTCTAGATTATTTTTAAGGTATTTCTATTTCCCATTACCACTTCATCAGAAGTGGTAATATCACAAATTAATGTACAACAATAGATACCATACATTGTTACCAGGACGTGACATTTAATTGTTTGTGAGACAGATCTATAACCATTCACCTTCCCCACCCCTCAACCCCTGGCTGGGAAATGTTATTTTTCTGCACCACCATGTGCATGTCATCGAGTGCCACCCGTCCCAGATGGTGATTTGATTTAGCTTTATAGATATCAGCCCTGGTAGTTGAATTATGATCTCAGGTCCTATATCTCTTCATGGCGCTTGGACATTCCTTGTGAGATCGAGAAGCCTCTTGCATGGCTTAGCCGGCTAAGTGCATGCTCTCAAGTCGTAAAGGCTCGTTGTCCATAAAGGGACGTCCTGGTGTAATTTTTCCTCCTCGTCCCTCTCTGGCTTTTTTGCATAAGTGTGTACAGTGTTTGCTTTAGCAGATCTCCATTCGTTCTACTCATTGTCATTCATATTGAAACAGTGCAGAGATTTGAATGTGCCCTGTCAGCATTGGGTACTTCAGAAACATGTCTCTGATATTTGAAAACCAAGCCAAACAAAACGCGACGGAGGTCAGAAGAAAACAAACATCCAAAATGTCCACCTTCATGTTTCATGATGATGGACTTTTTTTTATCAGTGGTTGATTGAGACCTTGTCAGTAAACGCAGTCGTAGCTCTGACTTCCTCACGGACTCACTTGACCCTGACCCCATCTTTCAAAGCAGAGTTCTGAACTGTGCAGGTGGCTTGAGGTAGCTGTAGTAATTTTGATGAATGTAATGATCAACTTAACAATATTGTTTCCAGGATCAAACAGCTACTGCTCATGTGCTTTTTCTAAACTGTCTCAACACACATGGCAGTGAAGAGGCTGAGGTTTCTAAAGTTGTACACTGTATACATCTATGCTCACAAAAATAATTTGATATAATTGCAATATGATTTCTCTACAGGTTAATGGTACCTCAAGATTATGAGTTTTTATATTTCTCTGCCATCTTACTGTGTTGTAGATGTGCTCCTTGCAGATGTAAAATATGGTATATGATAAAATATAAGTAACTTCACTTACTTTGCCCTGAATAGAAATTCGTTTTAGACGGAGAAATGTTTCAGGCTTGTCTGAGAAACTACATATGGACATTTTTACAGATTTACCGTTTTCTAGTTTTCTAACTCAACACTCAAATTTTAAGTTCCCCAAATTTGCTGTGAAGTCCCTATGTGGCACATTTCTGACTTTGGTGAATTCCAGCTGGAGGAAACAGACTGGTAACAACCTTGGAACCTGGTTTTTATTACCATAGAAAACATTCACACCATTTTCATCTGTGTTATTGTTGTGTTGTTCTTTGCTGCTGTCTGACATGTTTCCCCAGAGGAGACGATAAAAGTAAAGTGAGGTGGTGAAGTCAAATTCATGTCTTTTCTTCTGAAGCCTTCTATCACAGCAGTACCTGTTGTTTTTCACATTCACTTTCTGTCCGAGGTGCTAACATGAAAGTGTTGTGTGGATTGATACAAACTTCAATGGATCGATCTGAAGTTACGCCCATCTGTGCCACAGGTGGTGAGTTCAACCAACGGGGAGCTGAATGCAGACGATCCGGCTCATTCCAACGCTCCGATTACAGCTCAGGCAGAGGGGGAAGTGGTCGATGAGGCCAAGTATGTGTCACACACCCGCCACACCTCTCCTCCATGTCCATCTGTCGCTTCCTCTCTTTTCTGCTCCTCCTCTCTACCTCTCTCTCTGTCTCTCTCTCGCCACCTTTTGCCATGCTGTGGAATTGTGACAGCCCCCACCCCCAGCTGTCATCCTGCCTTATTATCTTCTGCCTGATTGTGTGGGGGGGTTTGATCTTGATTGTGTCTATGCTTTTCTACTTCTTTATAGAAAGAAAACTAATGTACGCACAACACAGACATCTCTGTAGTGTGCAGGTTAAGGTCGACATAACCTCTAGGACGCAGGACGTTCGGTAGAAATTCTGCTGCAGAGATCACGTTTTTGTTTATAGCACATCAAGACAAGAATTAGCTCTTACAATCAAAAGCTCTCGAATTTTTGTCTTTCCAAGCTGAAGATCTCCGTCTGCTTCTTCCACATGTTTAGCTCCTCCTTTCAGCTTCCTCCAGAGAATCTCCTGCTTTATTCTCACAGTGGATCATTCAAAGTTTTTACTATATTCAGAATTTCTACTTGGGGGCTGGCAGGAGAGGTTTTTTATGTTTTTGCATACAGATCCCCTGGAGAAAGTCAGGAGCTTATCTGGAACCCGGTGCACGCCTGAAAGCGACTTTCAAATTTTAGTAGCCTGGACATGTTAAAGAAACACCTGGCTGTTATTTCTTTATCAGTAGCAGTAATGCAATGCAGATCCTGTCAGTTCACTGAAACAGCCAGTTGAGATCACACCAGACCGTCCATGTTATAACTTGGTCACATGGATAAAGATGATGCACTTGATGTCACTTCTTTCTCTCCACGAGGAGACAAACATGAGAAGGAGAAGAAACCGTTTCTTTCAGTTTATCTAAGAGCTGGTTGCACCAGCTAAAGAGCTATCTTTGCTAATCTTCAGCACCAGTAGCTGGAATGATGCCACGCTACACGGCTGGACGCCCACTCTGCAAAAACTGCACTGCTGGCTGAATGTCATGTGGCTGAGCTGACTGAGAAGAACTGAGAGAAGTTCTCCTGTGGCCCAAAGCTCTGGGATTAAAATTACAAATATATTCATGGAGAAAATAAGCTCTTTGCAGTTGCCGTTTGAGGTGGATTTATAGTTAACAGCCAGCATATTATTTGTTTGATAAAGATACGAACGGGAGATTTTGCTCCAGCTACAAAAACAAATGCCAAGACATTTACAAAGACCTCTGTTGCCACACTTACACTGAACATTTTATCCCAAGACAGAACCCCACAATAGATACAGCTCAAACAGTTTGTCCCTGCTCTCCCCTTCAGGTCACTAGGCACTAAATTACACACACATCCATCACTTCTGTAAATGTGCCCATTTTTTTTATCAAGATCCATAAATAATTCCCCAACTTGCTATGTTTGAGAAAAAGAAATAAATTCCTGTATCCACATTACAATCAAACCGAGGAGCAATCATAACCTCCTCAGCGGAGGTATTAAAGCAAAGTGAACTCATTCTCCTGAAGTCCATGTTCATCCTGTAGCCTTGTAATAAATGATAATGTTTCCTATTGCACTAAACTTTATATCCCAATACATCTTGTAAATCTGGACGTAAGATATCTTTACCTGTGTCTCTCAGTTCAGCTCAGTTACACTCATAAACTGCAGAGATTTACCATCAAGGTCTGTGTCGAATACGATTCTGTTCTACGAGTCTCTTCGTGAATCTCCCAGAGGTTCCGTCACTTCAGTCTGTGCTTGTTTCTGATGTCAGGTCTTCCTCCGGTCCCTCCATTCACACTTGTTTGATATGATGATTGCTGTGCTCACTGCCAGTCTGTTGATAACCAGTCAAACACATTGATGTTTGAAATAAGAAGAATACATAATGTTTCAAATGCAGTTTAATTTGTGCTTTGCCTTGAAATGACTGGTTTTCATCAGTAATACAACTAAATATATGATTTACAAATATGTCAGTCAGACTCATCCTGGACTGTTTGTGATGTTTTAATCCAAGCTGCAGTTCCACCAGTTAGGAGACAGACATTCAGTGTCCCCCCCTGAAATTCTCTCATATAAACAATCAATCCATCTTTTAGAAAGGATCATAATTTTAAAGGGACATTAAAGCACATTCTTTTCTCAAATGCAGCATAAATTACACAACACATTTAGATATTCACACCCAAGAATCCTGGGAGACATGTGAAGCTACAGAGTAGATGTTCTCTAATCTGTTCCTGCTTTAAACCTCCCGAACTTTCCCTCTGGCATCCACCTGTGTCCTGTTGGTGTGTGTGTGTGTGTGTGTGTGTGTGTGTGTGTGTGCATGTTCGTGTGGCATGTGCCCCGTCCCATCATCCTGGTCTTGCTGTATTAATCTATCTTTCTTTTCTCTTTACACTCTTTCCTCTCTCTTCTTCTGTAGCTGCGTGAAAATGCTCAACCTGTGGTGAGTCCCTCTCTGCTCGTCCACATCAGACTCATGGGACAGGGAGTGGACCAGCCTAGGCTGGAGGAGTTGTTATTCACATTGTTTTATCTACGTCTCTCACTGGTACAACAGTGACACATGTTTCTGAGAACACTGTCTGTCGTGTGTGATATCACGTTTCTGCCCTTTTATCCACCACCACCCGACGTTAAATAGAAAATGAGTAAAGAATAAACCATGCTACAATGTGAGTTAGCCAAAGACTGTATATAAAGACGGAGGACATGTCAGCGTCTCAATCGCCACCTGGTGGTTGATCATGAATCACATCTTTTCCATTAGTCAGTGAATGGGACATGGACCAGACCTGAGCACCACACATGTTGAGGCTTGATCCCTCCTGACCCACCTCTCGGCTGCGTGTCTCCCCTCCTCTCTCGCCCCCATTTCACACTGAGTCTCCTCTTAAAAAGAAAAAATTATCTAAAAAGTCAAAATACCCATCACATACATTTATCTTAAAGATGGTTTCTTTCATTTCAGGTAGTTCTTAGCACATTCAGTCATTATTTTTCTGTTTTTAAAATTTGGTTTTGATTATTAACTTTTAAAGTGGCTCTACCCCCAAATCACTAATCCTCAAACTCTGGCTCCACATTCACAAGATGGCGGCTTTCTTATCCGTGATATTTTATTTACTTTATCTCTGGACAGTGGGCGGAGGTGAAGACGCTTCGTCCATCTTTATATTCAGTCGATGGTGTTTTAGTTCAAACTTGAGCGAACGTCACGTCAGGGCAGAAAGAATAAATAAGCTTAATATATTTTTAACAAATCCTCCTAATATTTGTGACTAAGCTCTTTTTAGGGTAAGGGTCTTTGAGCTCTTGTTGCATGGTGCACCATTATTTATTGATAGATGAATCTTAAAGTGTCCAGTCACTGTCCTATGTCTTCATCCACGGCTTTGTTTCTTGTCTTTGTATGTCTTTATTGATCATTCAGGCTCATCCTGTCTTGTGTTCTTTGTGTGCACTGCTCCATTCACTGCAACGATCTGTTGTTCAACCCCCCATTTTTTATTCTTCAAAATGGGAGATGAATAAAACACGTGGTGGATGGAAATGGACCTGTCTTGTCCTTTAATGCTAAAGTTTTACTAATCAAACCTTTCGGCAGCTGCAGTTCTCATTGTTACATGACTCGGATCAGGCTCTTGTGATTTTTAACGCACTAATTGAAGCAGTCCGCTTGTGTTTGCTCTTTCTTTAGCTTCATCTGACACCTCGCTCATCTGCATGTCTATTGAACATCCGTCTCTGTCCGCAGGTGCTGCTGTTTCTTCAAGCGAAAACGAAAGAAGAACACGCAGAGGCACAAATGATCGTCCGCCACCGGCCTGAAACATTCCAAGTGTCCGGCTCAGTTGATTGTGATTTCAGAAATCAAAAACGGTCCCATTCAGAAATTGAAGAGGGAGACGACGGAAAGATCTTGATTGAATTGCGCTCCGGAGGGACCAGTTAAATATGGTTTGAAATGTACAAGACGCTTGTGTCTTTTGATGGGAGTCCTGTTTTAAAGTTTTTCTTGTTTTTAAATTTTTTCCCCTCCTCCAAGATGTGTGGGAATGTTCTGCAGGCCAGTCGGCCAAATGGGAACGGTTCGTTGGATTTTTGCAGGGGATAATCTTTTTTTCTTTTTTTTTTTTTTTCCTCCACAAGACGCCCAGCATTTGTATTTTTCTTTCCTCGTTTTTTTCCAGTTGTTTTTCGTCTGTGGTATTGCAAAGAAAGAGACAGGTCTTCCTGTTTAATCTTACCACCTTCAACCTGTTGCGTTCTATGATTTTTATTTGTTTAACTCACAAAATCGTATTTTCGTTTCTCCTCTGTCCCAGTTCGAGGTGTTTTGCCTGTGATTAGTTTGCGAACTCATTTTGACACAAAGCCCTTCTGGTCCTCCCTGACGTGAGGCTGAATGTAAACCTGAACACACACGGAGCCAGGAGTGGTAACAGAGAGCGTCAGTCTGCCGGCCCCTGCACTTTTTATCCTCCAAAGAGGTCGACCCTGGAACTGGGACCCGGGCCTGAGAGAACAGAAGACCACAGACGTCTCCTGCACTGCGTTCTCTTGGGATGATTTCTGCTCGCGCTGCTTGGTTAAATCGCTCCCCTTTAACCACGCCGCTCTCAAAACACACTACAGTCTCTTCTGACTCTGCAGTTTTGCTCCTGTCGGCTTTTGTGATGATGAGCGGCAGCCTGACACTTGTAGATGTGGCTGAAAAAAAAATGCTATTTATGCTATTTATCTCTTGATTGACACCAGTTTTCTTACTAATTCTAACACATACACACTGAATGTATGGACAGTAAGGTAAATGACTTTGGGGCAATCTTATAATCTGTTATGCGCATGGAAAAGAAATTGCAGTAAAGGCGGTAAGACCAATGTTTAAAAAAGGAAAAAAAGTGAGACCAAAATCAAGTGGATTTGTGGGAGAGTCTTAATTGTTCTTGATCTTAATAATGTGATGGTTAATAATGGACTCTGCGGACACTGGGGGATGTTGCTTTGGAGCGACAAGAGAAACGGGCGTGATTTGCCTCGGAGATGAAATCACAGCCTCTCGACGCTGCTGTCCGATGCCTTAACCCCAACCTGTCGACCACCACGCCACCCGTCGGTTACACACGTCGGCAGCGTGATGGTTTGTGAGATTTTTGCGGCGCGGTTTGTCCGGCGGTCGCCTGCATCATAACGTTGCCGACTGTCCCCAGATAGTATCAGAGTAGTGAATGACTTCCTGTGTAACACTGAAGATGTATTATGGAGAGAGCGATGCCAAATGGAAGGTTTGGTGTAATAATCTGTGATGGTGTTAAGACGTCCCTGCCCCTCCCCCGTGTCTCGTCCGAAGACCCCTGTGCTGCAAAGCGATGTTTGATGTTCGAGTCCCGCAGAGAGAAAACCTCATGGTGGATGAGAACGTGTTCATGCCATTTGTTTTGAATTAGCGTCACGGAGGACTGCCTTGAAACAATATCCTCGACACGTCACCTTGCCTATCCTCCGAACAGAGAGTCAATTACCGTACATAGTAGTTTTATTTTTTTATTTTATATCTTGCTAATGTGAATTGTTTTTGTTTTTCCATTCCAAATAGCCATGGTTTTATGGGGAAAGAGAGGGTAACAAAAAAGAAGATAGAAAAAAAAAAAAGCTTGAAACCATGACTGCACTACATTTGTTGACCCCGGCTTTCCCTGACGAGACCCCGCCTTCTTAATACTGTACTTCAAACGTGCTCATTACTTTAACTGTAGCTGCCTCGTGTGCTCAGCCTTCCCTATAGGGTGCAGGGAATACACTTTAAATTCATTTTTACCCCCCCACCCACCCTCTCCTTTATTTTGTGCCATGACGCCCTCCTCCCACCGCCCCCTGCCCCCCCCTGCCCCCCCCCCCCCCCCCCCCCCCCCCCCCCCCCCCCCCCCCCCCCCCCCCCACTCCTCTCTGCACAGTCACCCATGCAAGTCCTGGGTGAGTCGACTCTCAGTGGAGGGTTGGGTTTGGACGCTCTGTCCGTCATCTTTACAAATACAATGTTGTAGATGTTGCAAACTATCTCAATCCGTATGTAAACCTGCTTGTTGCGTGTATTTACACTGTATAGCTTTTTGATTTACTCTTACCCCTGACGTGTCAGTTACTCCAGGGTCTAAGTTATTGTGTTTAATGAAAGTACTTGAATATGAAAATCTATGGGACCTTTTTTTTTCTGTTTGTTTTTATTGATTTCTCCGTCGTTATTGTAATAAATCACGTGTAGGATTTGAGGGGAATGGCGGGAAGACAGGCTATTTGAATGACAGATGTTCATTTCTCTGAGACGTCATAGTGCCTCTTGAGTGTGTCGGATGATGGATGAAGTTTGCGGAGTCCTGTGCCAGTTGGTGTAAATGACCGGACGAGGCTCGGCCCGTTAGTTTCAGCCGGTAGAGGTGCGGTCAGATGTTGGTTTGGAGGTTAACGTCAAGCGTTTGTCTCTGTCAAACATTATCGTAATGTATTTTTATCCAGCGAGGGCGAATCACACGTTTTTTTCCGGACACCAAACCTGTGACATCTGCAGCACCTGGAGCGTTTGAGAAGAGTTGAAAGTATTTCTGTGTAGTGAGATGGATATCAAGACTATACAGCCTTCAGTGTTCCCCACCCCCCTCTGAATTCCCCGAGTGCCATTCCTGAGACTACTACTACTCGCCCATGCCTTTTACCTGTGCCAGAAAAAATATGAAGTTGAATGTTGGGTTGGTTTATTCTTTTCTTTTTCTTTTTTTTTCTTGACCATCACATTCCCCCTCGAGTCCTTGATGTGTCCATTGTCATTTTTGAGAGAAACTCTCTAGTCAGTACCAGGAAGTGTTCGGAGAGAGTCGATTTCTTTCATTTACACCAAAAGAAACCGACTGATTATTTCAGAGTTGAACTTGTGACTGATCATCTGTACAACATCTGCTTCCTCTTTAAACTGTGGGTGGCCTCACTCTTTAGCTCACGGCTGAACTGGTAGATATAGACATCTTACTCTGGTGTATGTACTTTTTTTACTCCCTGGGCCTCGTGCAGAGCGACTATAGGAACGCTCTGTGTGGTTTGTATCTGCATGGCTTCTCTGGAGATGACAGTGAGTCGTCTCTCTGTGAATTTTCTCTCCTGTTGGGCTCATATACTGTTTGAGTCGTCACAGCTTCCAGTCCTCATGTACAGTAGAGAAACTTTTTTCTTGTCTTCTCACAGCACGTTCCATTTCAGTCCCCGTCATTTCTCATATTCTGTGTCTCACTTCAGTCAGACGTGTGTTTAGGGCTTGGTTGTGTGTAGCTCATCCCTGTGTGTCAAAGCTGTGTAAATCAAAGCGAAGGACAGTTGAAGTGTGAATGAATGGCTTCGGTCTCTTTGGGTTCTCTGGCACTTTTTCCTTGTTGCTGTACTGTAGACTTGTCTTGGATTTACTGTATATTGTTTCTTCGAGGGAGAGGTTTAGGGTGACATTTACTGCAATATTGTGATGATTATTTGAAAATTGTAAATTGTACAGTGTTCACAATTGTAGTCTTTGTTTTTTTTGGGGGGGGGGGTCCATATGGAAATGTGTTTTCTGATTATTTTTTTCCTCTCAGACTGTGGAAAATCAGATTGTACAGCTGCAAGAGTTTATCCTCCCCTCAGCATTGTTTTTTTTTTCTTTCTCAGAGCTATGATTAAGAGAGGTCTTAAAACTGTAAATAAATATTGTGTTGAAATATGAATGTCACTTCAAAAATGTATTCGGATGAGTTAGTCAAGGGCTTCACCAATGAAGGAGCCACATTTCTTCTTTTTATGGTTTCATATTTTTAATTTGCAGAAAGGTAAAGGTCCTTTTTATTTGAGATGCCTATGTTTTTTTGTTTTTTTTCCTCTTTGAATTCATATAAATACAATGTGTCACACATGAACCTTATAAAATCACTTTTTATTCCCTCCACACCTAAAGGGAAACTCCAGTTTGCACCCTTTTTTATGTAAAATAAAAGCTCTCTCCACCTTGTGGGAAAGTCTTCTGTGACGTGATTTGTACCAATTTCTCCTGAAACATGATTCACCGTTAATACAAATGAGTTATAACTTTTTACACATTTATGAGCTGTTAGAATTTAACTTTTTAGCACAATTCAGACACATTCAACCATCACACATGCTGTTAGAAGAAAAGCTGTATATCATGGAATACACAATGATTACCAAGTTTTACATGAGACAATATTTAAAAAGAAAAGTTTTATATCTGTATTTTTGTCTCTACTGTAACGTTACTGCTCTTAACTCAAATTACACTACTAGATGAAATTAAATATAATCAGTTATCAAATGTTTGAGCTGCTCGTTTTACCTCACATGCTGTTTTCTACGATGGCGGAGAGCGTTCAGAGCACGGCAAATTAAGAAAACAACTTCATCACTTTGACAAAATACGTGCAGCAAAAAAAATCACAACTCAAATTCAGAAACGAGAGAAGAGCGAAAATTACAACAGACCCAAAAGAGCATTATTCTTAATTTGCACTTGTTTAGTTCTATTTGCATGTGTTGGATGAATTACTTTTTTTCATATTTACGTGTTTTATTAATTTGCAGAACATTGAGCTCTCTCGGTCACTGTAGTTCTCTCCTCCCGCCGCTAGATGGCGGTGTTGTCCCGCTGCGTAGTGGCTGAAGCAGCCTATAAACTTCCTGTTTGACCCTCGGCCGCTTCTCTTCTTCCGGTCCAAGCCAACATGGTGGGTACCTGTAGAAACACTTGAGCTCCTCTCTCCTCACGATCCTCTGTAATCCTCAGCGTGTGTCTGCGTCCTGAGCGGCTTCACGCGTCAGTCCGCACACAAACATCTCAGATTATAACAAACACCGCGTTTTATCACGTTCGCCGATTAATTTCAGATTAAAAATGCTAAATGTTGCCGTTAGCTCCGGGAGCTAACAGGCTACAAACAACCAGAGGAGCACCGGCGCTGCTCGTGTGTTTCTGTAGAATGAGCAGCTTCGTCTCAGTCTGTGTCCCCGTTCACTTTGAATGTGACTTCAACACTGATAGTTTGACACAAGCTGCTTCTTATCCGTTCACTTCATCCAGATTTAACTCGAGCAAACAGAGAACGTCCAGGACAAGCTGAACGATGTGAAGATTAAATGTACTGGTCTGGATTTAATCAAGTTTTCTTTCTCTGGAGGAAAAAACTCTGTAAAAATAATGTAGATTAAAGGTTTAACAAATCATGTGAATTAATTTCAGCTTTGTTAATTGATGAAGCTCATTTTTAAACTCATTTAATTATTTTAAATTTCTTTAGCTAAACTGTCACAAATCTGAAAGTGTCAAATCATTTACTACCATATTCAGCTTTCATACCAGTGAAGTTCGAAACAAAGGATGAGTTACAGTATTAAAGTCATCTCTACAACTTTTTTGTGTTTTCTCAATGTTGAGCAAAGTAGTTTCCTACTGTTCAGGGATTACATTTCTTTTAATTTACACTTTAGTTCATTTAACAGTTTTAAAGTCTTGAGTTTCATTCATGGGCCTAAAATTTTTAATTTTATCTGATTGATTTATCAAAATTCTGTTTCCAGTTTGTGTTTAATAATAAGTACATTGTTAGGAACCATTGTTATTTACTGCCGGGAAGTAAAGTCAGTATTTCAAGGTCTTTTCAATAGTTTTAAAAAGGTTTTAAATAGAAACCTATAGAAACCCAGAGCAGTAAAGTGACTCGTACTGTGTCTGCGCGGTGAATTTATTTGCTTGGAAAACTAAAAAATAAGATCTTTAAGAAAGAGTACAAAAGCACCACTGTTGGGAAATTCCACCAGTTTATGATTATTATAATTATTGAGGTGTATTATTGATTCGTTCACTGTGTTTTGAAGAAACAAACTAATAAGAGCCACAGCTGAATGACCTGTAAACTGAGTCGTTTTTGTTTGGCTTCCCCTCAGGGTCGAGTCAGGACCAAGACGGTCAAGAAGGCCGCCAGGGTCATCATCGAGAAATACTACACACGTCTGGGCAACGACTTCCACGTCAACAAGAGGGTGTGCGAGGAGATCGCCATCATCCCCAGCAAACCGCTGCGCAACAAAATTGCAGGGTAAGTGGCATCAAACCTTTTGCTGCTGCTCTTATCGATGTTTTCTGGAGAAAGTCTCTCCTGCTGGCTGATGTTCAGATCCTCAGATTAGTTTTATGATCTGTGTGAGACTCGCTCAGCGCAGTTTGACCTCAGATTTGATGATGTCACTGGGGATCCTGCGTGAGCTTTGATCAGGTTAATGTGCTGACTCACGTTTCATTATTGATGAAATTGTCTGTTGCATTAGCAGAAAGACAAAGTATTTATGAATGTTCTGTGCTGCTGGTTGTGGTCGTTTGTCCGGCAACTCTTAGATCTCACCTTCTCACAGTGGCAGGAAGATGATGGGATGTTGTCTTGGTTTCATGCTGAATAAAAAGAGTTCCTGAGTCTCTCCTGGTTCTGGTTGTTCTGTTCTGCGTCAGACGTAGAAATGTTCGTGGTTGAAGCCTCTTTACTTAAAGCACATTCGCTTTTATCCAAAGCTGACCTTCTGGTCGGAGACGACTGCTCTACCCCTCAGCTGTAACCTGTCATGCATTCTTGCCTCAGTAAGACTTAATGTGTTATCATAGTAAGTCGAGGACTGGAAATGTGCACTGCTCCATGTAGTTTGTTTTTTATACAACAGCTGATAAGATGTGTGTTGTTCACACACACAGATTTGTGGAATTATTTTTTGTCCATTCTTTTCATCTAAATGTTGTATTTGTATCATGAACTTGAGTAGTTGACCTGTTCCTGTACTCACACTAACCACGTGCTCCTGCTTGTGTATCAGGTATGTGACTCACCTGATGAAGCGGATCCAGCGTGGTCCAGTCAGAGGAATCTCCATTAAGCTGCAGGAGGAGGAGAGGGAGAGGAGGGACAACTACGTCCCAGAGGTTGGTCCACCATCTTTTCCTCGTCTTTAACAGAAAGACTAAGTCTTTTATTTAATTCAGTGGCTGCTGCTGTTAAATGTATTCCCCAAGAAATGAAGAAAAATCCACGGTTCAAACGACTGATTCTCTTTTTTAACTCTACTCCTGTAGATTTCTGCTCTGGACCAGGAGCTCATCGAGGTAGATCCAGACACAAAGGAAATGCTCAAGATGCTGGTAAGTGTGAAATATATATTAATTAGAGATTTTATTTAATGTCTCATTTAGACCAACATATATTCAATTTGACAAGAAACTGACTGACAATCTTTTGACTTGTCAATGATTGAACGGTTTATCGGCGTAACAATTTTCAGCAGATTACTCGATACATAAAAAATGATCAGTTGTGACCTTGTTTTGTTTGATAACTGACTGAAACGATGATTAACTACAGGAAAGAAGCTGAATCCTTTTCTGTCTTTGCAGCTTTAACAGAATCTGTTAGTGACTTCCCCTGATAGAAACAAACGTGAAATATTCCTTTTTACTTATCTGACTCCTGACGACTGTTTCTTCCTCTTGCAGGATTTCGGTGGCCTCTCCAGCCTTCAAGTCACTCAGCCAACTATTGGAATGAACTTCAAGACGCCTCGAGGACTGTAATCATGTGTCATAAGTGTCTTAATAAAGAGATGTAATTGTAAAGAAAACTTTTCTCTTATTAATTCAGGAAGTGATGGTTAATGATCTTTTCTAAATGACAATGATTAACAGCAAAAAAATCATCTCAAGCCTCTGGTGGAAAGTAACTCAACACATTCTCTAGGACGATTTTGTGGTACTTTAAAGTACAGTGTGTAGAAGTTTGTGATATCTAGTGTTGAAGTTGCATATTCCAGCTGAACACCCCTCACCTCACCCTCCCCTTCTACACATGAAAAAGAAACTGGTAGCTTCAGTTGTCATAAAAACTCAAAAGGTGCCTAGTTTGTCCAGTCTGGACTAATGTAAAAAACATGGCGGCCTCCGTAGAGAGGGTCCCCTCGATGTAAATATAAAGTATTTAAATATAAAGGACCTTTTCTGGGGTAAAGAAAACTACAATTCACACAATTTAGATGAAACAAACTAGTGAAAACATCATGAGGATTATTCTACTTTATATTTTGGCCAATCGTTCCCTTTCACTTAAATCTTACACACTGGACCTTTAATGTCTCTATTTGATGAAATGTGTACTTTAATGAAAACACATGTTAGTGTGTCTTGTCTTATCTGGTCTATAGTTACATTTCACATTAAGACCTCAAACACAACTGGAATGGCTCTCAGCAGAGCACTTACAGTTGTGTTCAAAATAATAGCAGTCCCACATCACCAGCAAGATAAATCACTGTTTTTGTTAGAATGTCCACTTCTACACTGCAGGTACGTTTCTAGAAGGTTTGGTAAAGGTATAGAAAACCAACAGACCCCACAGGCATGACGTGCATGCTGCTGATTCTGTGAGACTGAATCATTTACTGAAAGGGGCGTGTTCAAAACAATAGCAGTGCCGAGTTCAATTAGTGAGGTCATTGATTATGTGGAAAAAATAGGTGTTAAACAGGTGGCCCTTATTTTAGGATCAAGGCAACTGACGCTGCATATGCTGGCTGTGCATTTGTCCTGAAAAAACTAAAATGGGTCATTCAAGACACTGTTCAGAAGAAGAGCGTTCTTTGATTAAGAAATTAATAAAAGAGGGGAAAACCTATAAAGAAGTGCAGAACATGATAGGCTGCTCAGCTAAAATGATATCAAATGCTGTAAAATGGCAGCCAAAACCAGAAAGACGAGGAAGAAAAAGAAAAACGACTATTCGAATGGATCGGAGAATAACAGGCTCAGCCAATGATCAGCTCCAGGAGGATCAAAGAAGATCTAAGATTACCTGTGAGTACTGTAACAATCAGACGACGTCTATGTGAAGCCGAGCTACCAGCAAGAAGCCCCCGCAAAGTCCCATAGTTCAAAAAAATACATGTTCTGAAGCGGTTACAATTTGCCAAAGAACACATTGACTGGCCTAAAATGAAATGGCGTAATATTTTGTGGACTGATGAGAGTAAGATTGTTTTTTTTGGGTCTGAGGGCCACAGACAGTTTGTCAGACGTCCTGCAAACACTGAATTCAAGACACAGTACACAGTGAAGACGGTGAAGCATGGCGGTGCAAGCATCATGATATGGGGATGTTTCTCGTCTTATGGCGTTGGTCCTATTTATCGCATACCAGGGATCACGGATCAGTTTGAGTACATCAGAACACTGGAAGAAGTCATGTTGCCGTATGCTGAAGAGGAAATGCCCTTGAAATGGGTGTTTCAACAGGACAATGACCCCAAACACACCAGCAAGCAAGCAAAATCATGGTTCCAGACAAACAGAATGCAAGTAATGGGGTGGCCAGCACAATCCCCGGACCTTAATCCCATAGAAAACTTGTGGGCTGACATAAAAAATGCTGTTCATGAGGCAAAACCAAGAAATGCAGAGGAATTGTGGAACGTAGTACAATTGTCCTGGGCTGCAATACCTGTTGACCGGTGCCAGAAGGTGGTCGACTCCATGTACCACAGATGTGAAGCAGTTATCAGAAACTGTGGTTATGCAACTAAATATTAGTTTATGATTCTCAGGAAAGTTGAATCTTCAAGCATTTCTTAGTTTATACAGTAGATTTTTGAGTTTGTAAAGAAAGATGTCAAAACTGCTATTTTTTGAACATTAAATTTCTTGACTTTATGTAAAATATTATCAAATTCAATTACTTTTTCCAATTTTCTTGCTTTGAAAAAGAATGTGCAGTGTCCCCAATGCATTTGTGTTCATTAAAATACAATTTATTTGAATTTTGAGGTTTACTCACCTTTTTAAACACACTGCTATTATTATATGAATATAACTGTACCTCCACCAAAACCAAAGTCATTTTATCAAACAGCCCCATTTTCCCCATCAAGAACCTTGAATTCTGAGATTTCAAGTAAAATGTTTAAAGAACATTAAAATCTAGATGCTCTCAAAGTGACAGGGAGATTTTTCTGGTCCCTAACGGCCTCAAATAAGTTAGAAAAGTAAATGCATCTGTGGTCTAACACGTTCCAGTTACTGCCAATATTAGAAGTTGCAAACAAAACAGTGGTTTCATGGACCTGATGTCAAACTGGTAAAATTAGTAAAAACTAGAAGTTGCAGAAACCACATTTAAATTCATTAGATCCAGATTTTTTTCCAGGATCTGGAACAAATTGCACAAACTTTTTATCAAGATCAATGATTTCAAAAAATCTACAGAAATGTTTCTTTAATGTTAATATTAAAGAACGTGGGGGAAAGAAAGAACAACCCAGCTGATCGAACAGGCAGATGAAAACATCACTTCAGCAGAGACACATTCAAACATGGTACAAACACTTTGAACTGATTTAAAAATTCACTTGGACTCGAAAATTCCAACAAAAAAAAAGGATGACCTGTAATATTAAAATGACCTGAATAGATTTTTGTGGGCACATTTGTTTGCACAATATATCTGGAAGGCATTGAGGGAATTTCTACAAATTTGGCTCAAACACAAACTCGTAATAAAGGATTAAACGAGAGGAGTTTAGTCACCAAAGGTCAAGGTGGCCTCACAAACTGCTCTTCTTGAAAGTGATCTCGATCAGCTTGAGGGAATCTCCTCAGATTTGGTGCAAATTGAATGTGATAAAAACAGAATCTGCCCTCTGTGGCGGAGGAGGAGAACCGCAGCTTAGTGTTTCTAGTCTGTGCTTTTCTATACTATGACTGATGGACAGCAGTTCTGTGTCTGCAGCTCAGAATTAGCTGAGCACAGCGGTTTTGTCTCAAGTTGGCTGGAGCAGCAGTTTCATTCCATCTGCATTTTAGAAATTGATGGGATGTCAGTTTTGACATCAGGGGAGAAAATTTTAATCTGACATTGACGATGAAGATGTTTGAACAGCGACTAATAAAAGCTTTTTTAGGATGAAGCTACTTGATAAATGATTTAATGCTCACTGAGCTTTTAGTAGACAAAGAAAAACAGGCTAGGGATTTCTAAGAAACGCCAAAATACAACAGTCACAGTAATCATGAGTCCAGAAACAGCAGATAATGCTTAAACACCTTTATTGTGCCCAATCTGAACATACTCCACAACTGTAAGTAGCAGCAAACTTGGCAGACCACAATGAGGTAGACTTTCAAAACTCTAAAAAGCGGCTGGGCTAAGGGACAACAAGCTCAGCATGACAAAACTAATGGATAAGAAAAGACACTTGTCTTTGGCACACAGCTTATGCATTTATGTCCAACTGGAACAGGAAGGCAAAATGGGATAAGAAAGCATGGAATCATTTAGTGGGGTCTACTCAAGCTCTGATAGATTAATTTATCAGCTAAGTGGAAGTTCTTACATTCAACAGGAAACAAGCAGCTGTTCTAACGTAGGAGTGTCCCCCTGCTGATGTACAAAAGTGATTAAAAACCACTGCCACCTCTCCACACGTGCAAATTAAAAAGTGCAAAAATCAAACTATGTACAACCAAATGTTCATTCACTCAAGTCTCAACTGGATCCATCAGATGCTTGAGAAAGGATGGAGAACCAGTTGAGGCATATCCAGTGCTATTGGTTTTACACACATTTAATACAAGTGGGCCAACAAATCAAGTGAAAGTACAACTTCCAACATTTTGGGCCCATTCAGTTGAAATTTGGGAGGGCGAATTAAAAAAAGAAGAAAATAGCCACAGAAAAATGTATGAGGAAAAAAAACAAAAAATAAAAAGGGGGATTTTCCCATAAACAGCCGCCAGGTAGAATTCTGTTCAAAATTTTCATGTCATGACTTAAAACCGTTTGTGTAAAAAACTGTAAAAATGTCTGAAATGAAGCCCGACATTCAACTCCCAAAAGTAAGAAACACCAGTTGGCTTGCACAGGAAAAAACAGATGCCAACTGAGGGTGGAGGGAGGGAGGGAGGGAGGAGGGGGAAAAAAAATTTAAAGGCACTGTATGGCATTTGCCAATGAACGGCAATGAGACTTGCGTGATTGCTTGTCACTATGCAACACATGTAAAAAAAAAAA